TGTAACTTTTTGTGATGCTTTTTTCTTTGTCATTTTATTGGATTCTTTTTTCAGTTTGTTGTTGTGCTATTAGATGTGTCGCGATATACCATATTGATAGTTAATATAATATTTAGAAAATGTATATCATCCTAATAATACACATTTGATAATATTGTGCTTTTTGTTTTGGTATTTTGTTGTATAGTAATGGATACAGGCTCTCTATCCACCGCCGTACACTCATATTATCTTGTAATTTAATAAAGTAAAAGATGATTATTTACAATTATTTATATTCATATATTATACAACATTCTGATAATTTGGCAGCATTATGTGATGTTCAAATAAAAAAATATATATAATATTGTGGCTATGGTAATTTGTAAGACTGTTGTTAGTTTGTATAAGCTATGAGTATATACTGTAAACTATGTGTAAGTAATCTTTGTCCAACTACACATGCACATGATACATTTCCATCAAGTCCTCCTTTATTTACAACAATTTCATTTCACTCAAGAGCAAAAAGTAATTCACTTCCAGGCCAGCTCTGTCCTTCTCATGATCTGTGGATGACAGGCATGTGGCCGTGATAAAACATAAAGCTGCTTCTGACCTTGCTCAATCTAATACAACCCATAAATCCTGCCTTGGTGAACCTCTTGACCTTGTGTGATCTCCCAGCCTGCACCACTGCACAATCTACTGACAGACCGGGGTGTTTCCTCTGGGACGGCGGCTTCTTTCGTCGATACCGTCTTGGTTTCTAATGAGAGCACTTATCTCCATCACCTGTCTGCGCTGTGATCCTCTCACATAGTGCAAGGCGCCGGCGATGTCCTCCTGACACTTAATTAAGCCTGCCGATTAGAGAAAGCTTAAAATATAAGTCACGCTCAGTAGGGCCCATTGAGAGGATCCTTCCCATTTCCATTCAGTGTGTTTACTGAGCCTCGCACGTGGGTGGACGCCTGCTGTAGTTTTTGAAAACACAGTGATATCCACCAGCTATGAACACAGTGGGCAGAATGGGCTGCAAGGAGAGAGAGGAGATTAATATTCAAAGCGTTAATGAGATGGTTATGTAACTGAGGGGACTTCTCATCATCCAGATGGGGATTTCGGAGAGGTATTGATTCTTCAAGTGCGACAGCAAGAATGAACACTTACCACTTCACAGGATTAAGAGGATATCCGGTCATTCACTGTCATTGAACTCTATTTAAATCCAGCAGACTTAAAACAAAGATCTATAGACGAGTGCTGATTCACAAATAAGCCTTAAGCCGGGCTACATACACACATAGCATCACTGTTTACCTTAGCAATAGGTGTACTTCTCGGTATCAACTGAGAATTGATAAACAGTGTTTGTTTTGTATTTGCTACCTTTCATACATTTTCAAAAAGCATGTTTGTTTTCAACCTGTTTGAATGCCTCTTTTATCTGACGCCAACCTTTTGTTTTTGTTCAAGCAAATGTACTACAAAGAAAAACATCTTTGGCAATGTCTTTGTTTTTGCTTTTCTTATTTTAATGTGGCTTTGGTTCAAATGAGTTGAAACAACTGATTTAAGACAAAAAGAGAAAAACCTTTGAACACCTTGATTGTTAATTTCTTAACTTTAATATAAGGTCTTGAGTACAATTCATGTTTAATTATCTTCGTCGCAATGTCCTTGAATCAGGTTTTTAAAAATAGCTGACAGAGAATTAGCCTAAAGCTAACACAGGAGGGTACGTGATGCTTGAGCTTAATAATCCCCCCAAAAACTTTTCCCACCGCATATCATTAATAAAGGTATTATTTAACATGATAACCGGCTGCCACAGGCTATTTGGCTTTCATAACGATTGTCGGCCATTTGGGGGCAGCAGCACAACTAATATTTGACATTGTATCACCTATAAAGGTGCCTATTGTTTAATGCAGAGAAGATATGGAGCAACATTAGCATTTTCTTAGCATTAGTTTTGTATCTTTCCTCCAATGAATGTAGGTTGAAAATTCTAATATTTTAGCTAATTTTTGGTCTCCACCAACAACAACTAGCTGCTAAATGCTCCACTATGTGAGCAGACATTGTCCTTACTTTAGTCTCTATGCCATGTGCATGGGTTTAACTGAGCTTTAAAAAATATATATATATGATCCATTGTAAATGTGGAAGGGAGAACAAAGTGGGTCAAGCACTAGGACCCAGATAAGGGGCAGAGTCTATCAAAAGGGGCGGGACGTTCACGTTGGCCTTTTTTTTTCCTGAAATGAACACACCTGAGAGAACAGCTGAGGCCATCCTTTTTGTTCAGATGTTTACAAGCTTGATATCATAGCAAATTGAAGAGCCATGAAGTTTAAATATGTATTTTAAATGCAGAATGTATTTAACACCTACTCTATTACGTCCCACACCTGGGCTTTTTGTTCATACTCCCTTCCTCGAGTGGAGTCTGTTATTTCATGTATTAATACATATTTAAACACATGAATACAGTGGTATCTGACTTCAGTTTGTTATGGTCATGGGGAATCATTGGTTACATTAAAATAGAATGTATGTAGCTTTTTAATAGCTTTTGGATAACTGAAGGAGGTGCTGATAATACTGCTGCTTGAACATCATTAAAAAAGTTTGGATATTTAACAGTGAAGCAATCAGACACAGTGACCTTTGCACCAGCATGAAACAATCTTCTAGAAATTATCACCTAAAATGAACAAAACAAATATACTTTAATATCATTTAACCCAAGAATACAGAAAATTACAGTTTTTTCAATTTACTTTACATTCATTTTCTTTTGTTTGCCATTTCACTTATATTTAGGACAGGAAGACAGGAAATTATGGAGGACGGAACATGACTTAAGTATAAATAAATAAATAAATAAATGTGTAAATAAATGTATGAAGAAATACAGGAATAAATAAATAAATAAATACAGGAGTAAATAAATACAGGAAAAAATAAATGACGAAATAAATAAATGATGAAATAAATACACAAATAAATAAATAAAATAATAAATAAATGCATAAATAAATATGGAAATAAATACACCAATAAATATAAATAAAAATAAATAAATAAAAGTCGAAAATAAAACAGAACACACGTTATTATATATCTTTCATATATTTCTACATTTACGCGACATACATTTATTTATGTGTCCGTATGCTAATGAGGTGGGCGGTCCTAACCTCAGTCTGAAGCAGGATTCGCCAATTGTTGGAGCCAGGCAGAAGCAAGAGATTCGTGGCAAGTCACATATGTTCATTCTGTGTACAGTGTGTACTGTACACCCACGGCAACTCGCTAATAATGGCTTCTTTAATAATTGTTCTTTCGCACACCCGTTCGCGATGTCCTCAGCGGTGTGCCCCCAACGAAGATGTGCTTCAATAACGTTTGGGGGCAACATGTAAGATGGACGCCCGAGGGTCGCCTCCTCTGTTTCCGAGAGGATTTCAAGTTGGCGGGCAACCTCTTGAAGACTCTCAAACACAGCTGGGTTAACATCCACATCCATGTCGAGCTGAGCCAAGTCCTCTATACATCGTTCCACACGAAACTGGACATAGTCTTTTGGTTCTCTGTTCTCTAAATGGTCCACCAATGATCTCCAATGGCTCTTAAACCAATACCCATAAATAATGCTTACAACTGTGGATAAACCATGGATGTATAAAGATAAGGGCTAAACAGTAAAGCTCCTGCATTCGAATCAGCGTGGTTAGCCAGGCGTTAGTATAGCCCTCTGCCAGAAATGATCACACACTCCTGTAACCAATCCTGCTTCAGACTGAGGTTAGGACCGCCCACCTCATTAGCATACGGACACATAAATAAATAAATGTATGTCAAGTAAATGTAGAAATATATGAAAGATATATAATAACGTGTGTTCTGTTTTATTTATTTATACATTGGTGTATTTATTTCCATATTTATTTATGCTTTTATTTATTCTTTTATTTATTTATTTGTGTATTTATTTCAACATTTATTTATTTATGTATTTATTTAGTCATTTATTTATTCCTGTATTTATTTATTTATTTACGTATTTATTCCTGTATTTCTTCATACATTTATTTACACATTTATTTATTTATACTTAAGTCATGTTCCGTCCTCCATAGGAAATAAGGGGAAACTGGATTAAAACCAGGAACACTGCAATTTTGTGCTATGAGCATGTAACCATTCTGCAACCAGATGCCCCAATTTAAACCAACTTAGTTAGTGTTTATCTTCTGACAGGATTTTTTGAGTATTACTATTCACCAAGACACTGCAGTAGAATACAGCTCATGCTCTCATTTTAAATAGTGTAAGAAACGCAAATTAATGGGGTTTTTTGTTGAGCTAACGGACTCAATCTAATTGAGGTAACAATAAAACCTAATTCTTCTGTACAGGTAGCTACACACATTTATTTACACCTTTTTCCAAGATGGCGTCCCTCTGCTTCCCTCTCGCGGCAGCTTCACCTCACAGCGAGAAAACCTGATTGTTTACCTTCAAAGACACCGGGGAAAAACCCAGTCTTGGACCAAGGTACGTAGGCCTATTTGAACTATTTGTAATCGAAAGCCTCAGCTGATATTTACACTGGAGGAACTGCTTCACCCTAACATCACCATCCATCCATCCCCTCCACCTCCTACCCAACCCTTTCCGTAGTAATACATCCACTCAAGGACGCGCCCACAATGCACACTTTGCAGAGAGAGAGAGAGAGAGAGAGAGAGAGAGAGAGAGAGAGAGAGAGAGAGAGAGAGAGAGAGAGAGAGAGAGAGAGAGAGAGAGAGAGAGAGAGAGAGAGAGAGAGAGAGATGCAGGTATTCACGGGAGGTGGGGAGGGAAGCACAGTCGCTGCTGGCCATTAGGACGTCAAAAGGACAGGAGGGGATGTGTGTTTGTGTGCTCATGGCTTTCTTTATTTTTCCCACAAGAACTCGCTTCTTATTCCAGACGCAGGTGTAGCCTCCCCCCCCCCCCCCCCCCCCCCCCTTCCAGACTACAACTGCCTATCCTAGTTTTTTCCATGCCCGGCACCAGAGGAGGTTTTTACGCGCCGGAGTGGGAAGAATAACATGATGTTAAACGAGATGTGGAGCGTCTCTTTTGTGCGCCGTCTGCTCCCGCGGCTGTGAGTGTGATGCCGGGTCTGCACCCCGCACAGATGACCTGAACCGGGCGGAAGAGGCGGAAACAACCACAGCACCTGATCCATAAAGAGGATACTTATTGATAACCATGGCTGACCAGGTAAGGCGATACCTTTTTTTTCTTCTCCAAGACCCACCTCGTGCGTTCTGGACAAATTCTGGACTACACACACACACCCTCCATTGTAGAGAATAGCAAGAGATCTTATCATTGTTTTTGTGCAGCACACTTTTTCCCTGTGTGTGTAGGAATTCAGTTTTGGATTTGGAGCATTCTGTTATATTTACTCTCAGGATATTATTATTTTTTTTTAAACACAGACTTCCAGTGTGTCTGTGCTACACAATGGCGACTTTATAGTTAGATTGATGAGTGTCATGGTGTCTGTTTTTCACTTTGTGGACCATTTAATTCAAAAAATGCCTTCATATATACTCCAAAATGAATTATAATGAGCAATAGAGTAACATGGCAATGCAAAAAATCTGATATAACTAGGCTTTAGCTGGTACCGAAGCAGAGAGTGTATTTGGCCTGTTACACTGGTGGGATCAAAAACATTGCCTGTAGTATTAATTTTGTATTGTGCACTGTTGTTTGCCCTAGTTTCTCCACAGCCTTGCGAGAGAAGGAGATTAACCCCTGACTCTCTGGCTCAGAGCGGTCAGGGTTTCCTCTCTGCTCGTATAGCTCCCCTGAGCGCAGCTGACTCTAAAGGCCATGCTTAATTGATTAGCTCGTTCAATTAACCTAATTGAGCCACCCGAGTGAGTTGTGTGTGTGTGTGTGTGTGTGTGTGTGTGTGTGTGTGTGTGTGTGTATAAATGTCACAGGCAGCCACACCTCAACTGCACTGTATATTATTACACTGCTCTACTCTATAGTATAATACATCACATTACTATACTGTACAATACTATAACAACACTATACTATAGCTCATTATTATGATCAACTACACTATTACTCTACACCTCTACACTTATTCTTATATACTAAACCACACTATACTATACTACACTATTCTATTCGTCATTATATTATTTTATACTAAACTGTATTATAATATTCCTGCAATAGTTTACAGTATCACAATATTGGAGAATACAACACACTATATTATACTATAGACTACTATGTTATACTACACAACACTTTAGTTCATTATACCACACTAAACTATACTACACACTATACTAATACTATTAATAATACTGTATTGATACTATAATATTATACTATAGTATATTATACTATAGTATATTATACTATATTATAGTGTATTTCTCTACACAACACATGCTATACTACACTAAACTGTGTTATAAGGCACTGAACTATACTTCACTAAACAGTACAGTACTGCACTACATACTATACAATACTAGAGCACATCACATAATACTACACAACACTATATTGCACCATAGAATACTGCATTACACATTACTGTGCTATACAACAGTATGCTATATTGTATATGATACTATAATGTTAACTATACTATACTATTTTATACTATACTGTAGTGTACTATACTATAATACTGTATTTCAGTACATGATATTATACCATTGTATTAAACAATACTTTGATGTGATATATTATAGGATTATATTCTACACATAATGCATATTACTGTGAAATTGTACGAATGCTACATTATGATAACAATTCTGTATTTTAAAAACTGATATAAAAACAAAGCAAAAGCATGTCATGTCTTTGCTAAGGGACTTACCAGTTTTTACAATGTAACAAATCAATACCACAGCTCTGAGGTAAATCCTTACTTGAAGAGTTTATTACTTTCAGTTTGTGTTTAAACTGTGTCAGAGAGATGTTTAATCGGTTCATTTTAATTTGTGCGGCTCTCCTTTGTGGTGATGCTGAAATGGATTCCATTATATAGTCATAGCCTTTAATTTAGCTCCTATTCTGTACTTAGCGTTTCCACAGGCAGACGCTGGGCCACAGAAGCCCAGGGGTGCTAGTGGAGCTAGATTAATTGCTGCATTAATATTGATGAGGGTCGTCTATGGTTGACCTGCTGTGGCTGCAAACACACACACTGTTACGCACGTGCACGCATACACTTCTCTCAGCCAAACTATTGTTCCAGATAAAACAGCTGACACCTTTCCTTTGCTTAAATGACTAGGGATCGAGATCAAGGCTTTATGTTTCTGACCCATTTTCATGTGAATTCAAGCGGAGGTCACTATGTACACATTGTAAAGTATATAGCCACCTGCACTTAAATGCATACCCTCATTACACACAGCTGCAGCCTCTTTTTCTCTCCCCCTCCCCTGTGTTTCTTACATTATGTCCCTATTCTATCTCTGTCTTGATCAACCTGCTGTCTTCTTATAGCCTGTTATTCTCGTAGATTTCCTTTTGACATGCTCTGAATCTTCTTCGGCATCTTCCACTCACACTGCCACTTATCTGACTCACCTCCACTGTTATCACCTCCCTCCCCTTTACACACAGTGGAAAGACCCTTCCCCCATTCTTCAGTGTTAACAATAACCAGAACATACATTGTTACAGGTAAATCTGCAGCCTGTTTTGAACCTCTTGGAAAATGTATATACTGTCCCCTTTTCTATTCTAACACGTCTTCTCTTATGTGTCTCGTTTCATTCTAGTACACTATGTTTCTCACCACGGCGCCCCCCCCTCCGACGTGGAAGCACACCCTTACCTCTCAAACACCAGCTGCGGAGGGAAGAGGCTGTCTCTGAGGACTGTGATTGGATCCCTGGCAGTGAGGAGCCCGTCACGTTGCCCATCAGTGACACAGCGGTGCCTCGGGATGAGTCCTTCAGCCAATCAGCAGTCGCCCAGTCGGCTTTCAACAGCCACAGTGGGGCGTTAAGGATAGTGCTCCTTGGACAGAATGGCGTGGGCAAGTCGTCGCTAGCCTTATCTCTGGCCGGGCAGTCGGACAGATCCCTGTCTATAGACTCTGAAACACAAGCATGTGGTAAAGACTTGGATTGGGATTGGTGGAGTGTGTTTTTGTGTGATTGTGCACCTGTGTTAGCCTTGGCAACCTGTTTATAATAAGTCCCAAGAAACAATTCATTTAGACACTCAGTGTGGATTTAAAACAGTCAGAATTCCTTGCAGTTAGAGTTTGATGTTAAGATTCAAATGACTTACATCCACGTCTCTACGCTAAATGTGAAGATTGAGCAAGCGGTTGGTTAGCTTAGCTTAGCAATATAACTGGAAGCGGCGGGAATCATCTATTCTGGCTAAGTCCAAAGCCCAAAATCTGCCTTCCAGCCCCTCTGAAAACTACTTATCAACCTGTTAAAAATTACATATAATGTGCAGACATTAAGTGGTATTGATAAGTGAATGGATTTGTATATGCAACCTCTTAACAAAGCCTAGCTATTTGTTTCCAACAAGTTTCAGTTTTTCGGTAAGCTAAGCTAACTGCTAGCTGCTTTCATATTAAACAGATGGATGTGAAAGTGGTATCAATCAATCTTCTCATCTATCTTCTGGGCAACAAAACAAATAACTTATATACCGCTGCGGGTGTATTTCCCTTCAAAGCTTATATAAACAGCCTTGATTTGGCCTCTGTCAGACACAGCTCACTGCAACAACCAGTGTAATCTGTCGTCAGCCTCAACCAGCCAATCAATGAGTCAGTGACATTAAGAGACGTCTACCCTCCCTCATGCATCGAGCTGACTTGCCCCTGACTCGTGTTATACAGTATTCATATCTGCACATGTAGTACTCTTGGATACATGCATCATAAATGGACAAAAAAAAGCACTTTCATCCAAGAAGCTTGTACACGTTTCCCTGATGGTCCTGGCATCATTATTATACATTTCAGCAAAGTGTGAATTTATTCTTTAAGCTACACATACAACATTGCAAAGTGTAAAACAAACACTAATCAACACCTATTTAATTAGCACTTTTTGATAGTATTGACCAGAAGCTCCAGCAACGTATCAGCGCAGTGAGTGGGTTTACAACTCATCAATCAATATGTGCCCACACCAAGTAATTACCAGTATAAGACAGCAAGCCTTGATTAACCACAGGAGATGTGGCATGCTTGTGTCTTAAAATAGACTTGTCATTTATCATACTGGGTTTTCCAATCTACTTCAAGCTATTTTGGGTTAATGTGTGTTTTAAGAGCTGCTTTGCAATTAAAGGTAGTTTATTTTTCTAAGGGAATCGATGCAGTTAAATGAACAACAACCATTTTCAAGTACGACCCTTTTGGCTTAAAATGTATATTGTTTTATAGTGTCAACAACACATTGATCTTATTAACAACTACGATGTGTTTAGTCATAGCCTGATATTTCATAAAATGTATGAATCCACATCTGAAAATAGTCCTACACAAATGTACTTATGTTAGAAAATAATTTCATTATTTTTTATTCGAATATAACTGAGTATTTAAGGATGAAAAATATGTGGTTATGCCCCCCAATGTACATGTTTGGGAAAAAAAGTAGGTTAAAACTAAGTTAACATTTGTAAAGGGTAAAACAAATGGCTAAAACATTGTTGGTTTGGGTTTTCTTTCAATGGGGTTTGTTTCCAAAAATAATAAAGAATATCAGGCGTATCCTTCACATTGGGGTACAAACATGTTGAGATAAAATTGCCCTCCTTAAACTGAGGAGCAGATGTCTGTAATTGGTTGCAGGAACACTTTCCAAAGACATCATTTGGCCCCAATTTTGACATGAAACTGATTTATGGGCCATAAGAAGGTCAAGGATATTTTACATCACAGTCAAAATAATTTATCAACATCCTCAGGCAGCAGTTGGGACCAATGCTATTCGCTTCAGTTCATATTGCAGTTATACTAGGTCTTATTTTTGTATTTCAATATATAGTGCTCCTACGATTTCATGGCAGTGTGGTGTTTATCTGTGCTGATATGGGTATTTGTTTACAGGAGAGGGATACGAGTGCTCAGTGACAGTGGACGACGAGGACAGCAAACTCATAATTTTCGACAACTGGAAACCGGTGAGTGACTGACTCTGTGCTTCAGGCACTTTTTCTCCTTTTTCTCATACGGTTAAGACTGAGTGTCTGTCTTCTCTTGACTCCTTTCTCTCTAAGCCACCATTCACTTCATCTTCTTTGACATTCATTGCCTGCTTAACTGGGTGACACTTGTTCCATTCCTGTGATGGGCAAAGTATTTGTGTGTATTGAAGTGTGAGGAGAGTGTGTTCATACGTTTGCTTTTAAGTGCGTATGTGTGTGTGCTACACTGTACAGGGATTCCTGCAGGAGCATCTTTTTGAAGTTCTCTCATTCGTAAAAGTGGGAAACCGCTCTGTTGTAAACTTTACTTGTTTCTATTCAAATCTACAGCTAACAAGAACATTTGGCGAGGGCTAAAATTGCCGTGGCTCTCCTCTTGAGCGGAACAGTGGGAGAGAGTTAATACTGCCCTGTGGCGATGTTTTTTTAAGCAGGAATAACCGAGCGAGAGCAGAAGCGGGGAGCAATAACAGCTTGTCAAAAAAGCTCCTTGTCACACTTACGACATTGTGCGAAATTCAAAAGCGTGCACATACTAATGCCTGCAAATAATGTGATGGAACGGGCAAGCACTCTAATTAGTGTGTAGGGTAAATCATCATCTCTAATGCATCTCATTCCAGATGTCCACTCGGCCTTAAGGGGTTCTCCTCGTAAGGTTAAATTATTCACACGCAGATACATTTCGCTCTGGGGGAACTCCCCTGAAAGCCAGATAATTTCTCCACTTCCTTACTTTTTATGTAATCTCTCTGCTCCCTTTCTAGCCCCCAATTTTGTTGACCTTCCTTATTGCAGCTGTCATAATCTTCAGATCTCGCTGCCCGCTGTGGGGGGTGGGGGGGCGATGGAGGCAGAGAGGGCTGGAAAGCGACCCAAATCATCCACCAATTAATTCTCATGATTTTCAGTTGAAATGCCCATGGATAAAAGACACACAGATGAAGACCTTCCCACAGGTGTACACACATGTGTTGTCCAGCTGCCTAACATTTGTTTTGGCCCAGGACTTGCACGGCAGTAACCACAAGTCCCATGAGCCAGGGTTGCCGTAGCAACATGCAAAGACACACACACATACAGGGCTGATTTACTCAGTCACTCTCACATGAGATGATGCTACAACAGTCAACATCCAACTCCTTTGGCTGTGGGGCGTCTTGTGTTCTCTGTCCAGGCCGATCCACGCCTCGTCATTCCCTTGCCATACAAACTGCCAAAAAAGATGAAAAACTGTAACATACACACTCAGTGATTGTTCCTTCAAGTGCTTTGTGGCTTGACTCACAGCTGATTGACACATCAAGGTCCAGCTGGAACTATAATTTCCCCAACTGCGGTGCAGAGAGGGGAGCACTACAAATCACAGGTAGAGCTTACTTTGAGTGCAGAAATACAGTATATTGACTCCGCGTGTCAAAGTGCATACAAGAAAACCTTCAGTATAGGGGGGTGTGAATAGGGGGTGAGTAGTGTGGTTAAAGAGAGATTGAGAGTTCCAGAGAATGCAATGGGAGTGGACGAGAGACAGTTTAAGTTTAGTGGTAAAGTTGTGAAGTGAAGCACATGTTTAAAGAGTTAAGTTGGCAGTTTGTGCCCAAATAAATGCAGCAGCACATTAAGACCAACACAAATTTCCCGTTACTTAAGGTGTACACAATTCGTTTTTTTTGTCTCTGTATTCAAATATAACACCAAAAGTGGACAGGTTTTTACCGAAAGAAGGGCTGTCAACGTTAACGCGTTAACCCTCGCTATTAATCTGGAAACTACGGTGGCTGACCGGTGGCAATGAAAAAAACATCTTTAAAGCTGGCTACACGCCAACCCGATTTTGGGAGTCAGAGGCCTTCAGAGGCAGTCGGGCATTCACGGCGCCCTACTCAGGTTGGTGTGTCCCGCACCGTCGTCTCTTTACGGCACCTTTTCACACCTCCCGATGCCTCCCGCGGCCGATTCAACATGTTGAATCGGCCGCGGGAGGTCAGAGAAAGTCGGCCCAAGCAATCACTCTGATTGGCTGTTCATACTACCGCTGCCTGCTGGTAAGGACAGTTATTGCCACTCGTCGACTGAAGTATTTGCGGTGTGTTCGTAGGCGGGCGGCGTAGCGGGCGGCGTAGCGGGCGGCGTAGCGGGCGGCGTAGCCGACGCAGGCGACGAAGCTGACGTAAAAGTCGGGATTCCTTCGGTACGCGTTCTTTGGTCTCAGGTGGGTGTGTAGCGGCCTTAAGAACTTGACAACACATGCACAGCATTTAGAAATCATTCACAAATTGACGAAATCAACTTTACCTAAAGGGCTGCATAAACGAAACGCTACAAATACAAAAAGGTGCAAATAAAAAATGCTGCTAACAGCTGAAAGCACAACGAAAACTAATTTCAGCGCTATCTCCTAATGGTAATGTTTCCGGCCGGTGTTGCGTGTTTGCACTTTGCAGGCAGCGTAGTGATTCTTAAAATTACACAAACTCATCACATTACCAAGTTTGTCCCACAATTGCTTCCATTATTCCATCATGGAGTATACAATGAATTGCGTGGCAGTGAAAAGCCAAAGGGAGCGGATGAATCAGCACAAGCTACTGTACATGTACTCCTGCACTGACTGGTGACTATTGGACATCAGGAAACAATGAGAACTACCCCGGTGTAACGGCACACGTAATCCATGACAAATGGCAACTGCACTCGCTTTAGGTGTGGTGAAAACAGAGGAAAGGCATTTTGCTGAAGCTTCCATTAGTCAGTTACTTGAGGTCTAGCAGAGAAAATCACCACTGGAACAGATAGAGCTTGCAACATGAGAACAAATCAATCAAATTAGAAAATCCCCAAAACTTGGAAATGTTGAGCCTCATAACAATTGTTTTTCCAATTGTGGCGCTCTGAATCAGAATCGTGATGTGCCCAGAGATTGACTCTCCCATCTGCCTGGTCATATGTGTTAAGCACACCAGCACACACATGCACAGAAGGCTGAGAGTCTGCTGAGCCAGACTCTGGTACGTCGTGTATTCTGCTGATGTCACAAGCGTTGCATGATTTAAATAAGTAATCAATTTTCCCAAAATAGAAACACTGGCATCTTGGCCTTGATCTAGCCTGCCTATGCTGTCCTTTGCCTTCAGACTGACATTGTTTGTGTTATATATCGCTAAATAAGACTGTTTGAAGGGAATAAAGAAGGAGATCCAGATCACCCTTTTTAACTGTAATGTGTGTTCTTCTGTGTCAGTGTCCATGCATTTGCTTGATTTATTCTGAGCTCGAGCCAGTTCAGCAGTTGCCATTATTATTTGATAGCTTAAAATTAAAATATTTATCAAAGAATACAAAAAGGTGCAGCCTTAGGCCTGTAAAAATGTAGGCCATCTCTGTATATATGTGTACTTGCTGCTACCCCCATAGGGCAGGATCGTTTATTATTATAAAGCAAATTAAAGAAATAGTCCAGGACGTCATTTGGAAGAAGATAATTGCTGCTTGACCACATTCTTTCGCCTGATTAGGACGGAAGAAAAACACTGTTTGGTCATCCATTGAAACAGAGAGAGAGAGAGACATTTTTGGAGTGTCTCCAGGGGTTCTTTCCCTGGATATTTTCCCTGCTTCCTGTTATGCTATCTTGCAGCCTTATGAGAGTCGCTCTGGAGTGGACTACATTTTCTCATTTCATGCCCTAATCCACATAAACTATTATACCTTAACAGTTGTGTTTGTTTTCATCTCTGCTGGGAGTCACTGCTCAATTGTGTGTGAACCAAAACCACAACATGGAAAAGCTATATGCTGCATTCTGTTTAAGGGATAAATATCAAAATCCTTTTCAAGTGAAATTGAGTTTTCTAGTTCAGGTGGATTACCCTAGCTGAGAACTGACAAACTAAACAGCTCAGAAAAACTAGACAGCTAAAATCATAATCAAATTATCACAAAATGATCTGCCTTGTGTCTGTTAAAACATCTTAGACAGTCTAAGTTGTTTTAACAGGCAGATGATTTGTTAGCAAAGCAATCCTACCAATTTGAAACGACAATGCAGCTAGCTACAGCTAAATTACAAATCCTTCAAGGGGCCTGAGCCCTTAATGTATCTATCTACTATAGTTCACAAGATGTACACAAACAGGGGCAAAGCAGAGCTAGCTTGAAATCACTCAAACACGATGTAATGCTACAATAAGCTAGCTAGTTTAGGAAGCTAATTCGATCAAACATGGCCGCATCAATACTGGCCGCTTTAATTGTCAATAACTGATTTCTTATTTGGAACAGTGTCTCTCTCAAAACTTCAGATTATGGCATTTCATTATTTATCGAGTTTGTGAAATTTCCTTTGTTTTTGTGTCAACATTCCCGAAATAAATGCAGGATTGAGTGATAGCACTGCAGCCGGGAGTCGCCACACAACCCAGTCTCACGGCATTTCGTGTTATAGTCACGACATTTAATCTATTGATTCGTGTTCACCAACACGATTTCCCCCTTTTTTTCGTGTCACACAGAACGATTTTAAAAGCAATGTATTTCTATTGGTAGTATGTTTCGTGCCTGCACCACGTCTTTTTGTCCGGTCGCGTCTTGGAAGACCGGAAGCTGTGTGGTTCATAAAAACATTTTCTTACTCAATATCAAGCCACGATTATTGTTTTTTTTTAAATCGTATAGTGTCAGACTTTTTTTGCCGTCCGCGAGGAAAAGAAATGGGGCTCAGAGCCTCAGAATACTGAAATCTGTATTTTTAAAATCTTTTTTTCCTTCTAATTTGTTATTCTTTTCTAAATAACACACTGTTATTTACTCAACAATAACACACAATTATCCTTGTTTTTATTTATTTGTTTAATTCTATAATCTCGGGCTTTTTTGGCATCCGTCAGGAACTGAATTTAAAAATAAATAACTGGAAACAGACGTAGGCCTATATGGGACATTTCGAGCATCATTGCGATACACACCCACTGAACTGA